GTGAGCAGAGGCGGCGGGCTGAGTGAGAAGAGGCGGCGGGCTGAGTGAGAAGAGGCGGTTACGCCTTCTTTCTTTGCGTGAACGTTTGGGCGGCGTTATGCAAATCTTCCGAGATCGTGACGTAGGTATGTGGGGGTGTGTTAGAACGAGCCGTTTTAGGTAGGTGTGGCTGACTCTGAACTTTTATAAAGAATATCTCTTTGGATTTGAGACTTTAGTCTTTGCAACTTTACAGATCTTCTTTATGCACCAAGAGCTTGTAACACTCCAAAGAGAAAGGAAAAATTGAAATCGCATCATATGACCCCTTTAAGTAGACAGTCTAATACTCTAATGGCTGCTAGTTGACATGTAGTTGCAAAATTACTTATAGCTATTGGAAGTGGACTACCAAAATAAAGGTTTACCAGATACAATGCTCTTCTTCCATCATTTAATCATCATTTGATGAATTATCACTGCTTTCCATCTGCATCTGTGGGCAGTAATAGCAAAACATTAGGAGCAGTGATTTTTGATGAAAAGATACAATATCAGCCTAATTTACATAGAAAAAGTGGGTTTGCGCAAAAACCAAAATGGCATCATTTAAACGGGTGTTTTTTGTGAAATATAGCGTGCTAAGGTAGCAAAACCGTCCAGTGAATTCGCCCCACAGTGTGTTACATGATGACTGAACTGTTAAAGTCTCTCTGTGTCGCTACATCAATGACACGGTGTCATCCACGTGCTGAAATGTCCATCGGGGACCATTTCTTCCGATCACTTCACTTCTTTTCAGTGGTTTGTTAAGGTATTAATAAGATTGCCTTTGATTTTGATGTCCGAGCCACAGTCTATGTTGCATTGCATTCTGGGAAAATTGAATGGGAATGAGATGGACAGTTCATGTTCCCAGAGCTGCCCCCACGTCTTCGACAGAAACAACAGGTTCTTGGATAATATCCTTCATTTCTCTTCAGAATCGGCTGGTCCTTCCTCTCACCATCATGTTTCATAAACCCAGCCAGCCCTTGAACCTTTAGCCTCTCTGATGCATTAAATAAATAAACTGCACTTGGGGAAATCTTTCCAACCCACCGCCCCCAAAGCCTTCAAGAGCTCAAAAAGAGAAAGCAAAACAAAAAATGTGAAAAAGGGTCAGACTGTGCCAAGAGATCAAAAGAAGGGGAGAGAACCAAAGAATGAGAATAAAAATTATTTTTCTTCAGTTCCTCCCTTGTTTTCTTTTTTTAATGCTTCAGAAGGGGGCAAGCACTGTGTATTTTCCCTTGTAAATATGCATTCATCTTTTTAGATTTTATATGATTGATTTTATTTTTTAATTATGCTTTTATTTTTTGTATTTTATTTTTCCAATCGTAGTTGCAACTTTTGGAAGAGTCACTGTTGGGTGTCTTGTACGGAGACCCGCACCAGGCTGCGCTTCCTTTACTCTCTACACTGTCTGAAAGGCCTTGCTTTGAGCAGGGACCATGACGCCCGCCGGGATGGCCATGCCCACTGGAGGATTGGGGGGTCTGAATTTTGGGGTGGCCGGGGGTTCTGGGGTTTTAGGCACGACCTGCGTGTAGGCCGGGGGAGACTGGGGGAACCCGTGGGGCTGACCGTTCTCCTTGAGGGTGGCGACAGCGGGTGGCCGTGGACGCTGGCCTCGGGGTGCGCTGTTGTGCACCATTGACTGTGTGGAGGAGGCACCGGAGCGGGAGCTGCCAGAGCGAGACGAGGAGAGGGAGTTGGGCTTCACCAGCTTGGCTTTAGGAGCTTCTGCATCCTCTCTGCAAAAGTAACAGAAATATTGACATTGGTTACAGATGTCAAAAATATCGGTACATTGATACTAAGGCGATCAATCAATCAATCAATCAATCAATCAATCAATCAATCAATTGTAGTCTCAATCAATCAATCAATCAATATTTAATTGAAAATATTATTGAAATATTTTCAAAATATATGCTGTATGTGTGTCTATTTATATATACATAATAAATATACACAACACACACATATATTATGTAAACAAAAACTTTTATTTTGGATGTGATTAATCGCGACTAATCGTTTGACAGCACTAAAATAAATAAATAAATAGAAGTAGTCTAGAATCGAACGAACGAACGAACGAACGAACGAACGAACGAACGAACTAACGAACTAACTAACTAACTAACTTAATTAATAAATAATTCATTCTTTATTTCTTTATATAGTATCAGTAGTTTTATTTTATATTTAAATATTTTAGAATTTTGATTTCATTTTTTCGAATGTTTACTTAAATATTTAATTCTAACAGAAAAACTTTAAGCACTGTTTGCTCTGTTTGTATCTTTATTATACCTTTTTATTAGAAACAATTAGAAATAGCATATTAGTTTTCTTTATAATGAAAATAATTAAATTTTTATTGTATTGGTATCAACTAGACACATTTGGTATCCTGCAAGTTAGACATCAAAGATTAAGGTCGCAGGGAGCTTTCTTATAACAAGGTTACTCCAGTATTACAAAAATAAATGACCTAAACATGCTAAACTAGGATAATACTCCACAACTGAACATAGCGAGAGATCCTACTGTGGCATGACACCCAACGTGCGCAGGAACGCTCCCCGTATGTTTGTCTGTGCATAATTCAGAGATACTGTACAGCCGTGGTTTGTGGCTGCATTATTGATGTGAACACAAACAGTACAGTTCTGTCACTATAGACCTAAAAAACAGCTGTCTGATGTATTATGAAGATTATCCTGAAGAAAATATGAGGAGTGTACCGTCCTGAACTCAAAAACACAGTCACAGTCTCTGCTGCAGGAATATTAAGAGTTAAAGTGGATCTATAAAAACACAATCAATACTGAGATCTCACCTGATCTCATTAGGTGTCTCCTCCTCCTCATATTTCTTCTTCTCCTTCTTGCGGAAGACCAGCCAGATGATGAGAATGAGGAGCAGAACGCCGAATGAAACACCAACCACGGCTCCAGCCACCACACCTATGCCCCGCACATCTGCACACAGCAGCACATCTGTCACGCCTCATTACATCACATTGCATCTTCATATGATGACAAGTAAAATACAAAATGAAATCATTATAGTTATTTACAGTAGGGTGCAAAAGCCTGATAACACAAGTGAAAATGCTAATATTGTGTGTTCTTTCAAAGCTTGTTACTGAATTAAATTAAGATAATTGTAACTTTTATCTCACAATTCTATTTTTAAGAGATTGCAGATGTGAGAAATAAAGCCAGAATGTCAGAATATAAACTTGTCAGAATTGTGAGATAAAAAGTCATTCATTCATTCATTCATTCATTCATTTATTATTATTATTTTTTTTTTAGTTGCAGAAACAAGCTTCAATACTATTCGGTACAAAAACAATAATTACAAATCAGGGAGAAAAAAGGGAAAAATTTATGATTTTTCCCCTTTTTTTTTTTACATGTACAAATATGTATTTAAGAATTTACACATATATAAATGGAATATAAACTTGTCAGAATTGTGAGATAAAAAGTCATTCATTCATTCATTCATTCATTCATTTATTATTATTATTATTTTTTTAGTTGCAGAAACAAGCTTCAATACTATTCGGTACAAAAACAATAATTACAAATCAGGGAGAAAAAAGGGAAAAATTTATGATTTTTCCCCTTTTTTTTTTTACATGTACAAATATGTATTTAAGAATTTACACATATATAAATGTGCAACATTAATTATAGCCTGGTAAAGGTGTGTTCTTAGGTGTAGTCGTGCAAACTGGAGAGACATTTGGCTCCTTAATTGTGATAAAATGATTTTGTTTATTGTGGCTTACTCCTTAAAAAAAATCCATATTCTTATGAAGATGTACATCAATGGTAAAATGGTTTGTTACAACATTAAATGAGCTTCTATAAGCAATCATTTTATTATAAAAAAATCTCATTTCAGCTATGACTGAATGTCTACAAGCCATGTTTAATTTTATTCAAATGCAATTGTTTGTTTTACATCAATGCACATGGATATGAATCAAATATAACATCTGTTATTAGCACTTAAAAGGTGCATCAAATGATTTTTAATCTCATTAGAAACTTTAAAATCATTTCCTCTCATATGAGATGAAAAGTCATATACCAGTCATATTATAAGACTAATAACATAATTTTTTGGTAATACCTTTCCCAGTTGTTATTAAAGATTTGCTAATATTAACAAAGCTTAATAAATAGTGTAACAAATTAATTGCTTATTGTTTGTAAATGTTAGTTAATGCAATTCATGGGACTTTATTACAAAGTGTTACTTTTTTCACATAGAGCAGGTTGCCTCATTGGTTATTTTGATTGATTAATAAATTAATCATACCTGACTGCTAATAGCTCATTTCCTACAGTACCTGAAAACTTCAGCTTCTAAATTCATGCCGCTGGGTGTCAGTATAAGTTCACTGTCATATCGGCTAGCACTACATAAATAAAATTTACTGAGTGCATCTTTAAGAGCCATTTATTTTTGTTTGACAAAGAGCTTTTGATTTGTTCACTGTTTAAACGTTATATTAGCAGGGGAGCCCATATGGTACAGTAGTTACATTTTATTAGTGTTCTCATGAGATATCTTGCGAGTGAAACTGAATTAGGCAGACCCAAATTAAACTTTGCCAGCCACAACTGCGAAATGCCTCTTTCACATAAATTCTTTTCATTTCCTGTGTTGAGAAAGACTAGCACAAGGCCTAAGTGCAGGACAGTTGTCAAATGTTTATATAACTCTCTCAATCTTTTCCTCTGGTGAGCATTACATTCTTCTGCCTCTTCCAAAACCATTACGCACAAACACTGAAGGATGGCTGTTTGAGCAAGACTGATGACAAATAGCCACACTCTGGCTTTCTTTAGTTCCCAGTGCTCAATGAAAGTGTGTGTTTGTTTGTGTGTGTGTGAGAGAGAGAGAGAGAGAGAGAGAGAGGAAAGGAGGCAAAGTGAACATGAAATAAGTTTTTAAATGGAAGCTTGTTTCTGCCATGGGATGAAAAAAAGGTAATTGCAATTTTGACTTTTTTTCTCGCAATTCTGAGTTTATATCTCACAGAGAAATATTAAAACAGCAGAAAGAAAAAAAGTCTGAATTGTGAGATGAACAGCTGCAATTACCTATTTTATTTTGTGGCAGAAAAAAAGAACTGTGAGAATTATAAATTCTGAGGGAAAAAAATCATTCAGGGTTATTAGTTAACTACTAAAACCATAATAAAAACTTCTGTTACTTGAAATAAGTAATTTTCATTTAGTATAATCAGAGTCGATTCTCCCTATACGCAAAATACGCAAGCTGCCCCTGAAACACCAGGGGGCCCCCTTGCTCTCAAAGATGATTTAACTTTAGTTTTGTTTTTGAATTTGGCCAGCGGTTATGAAAACATGAATGATCACTTCTTTTAATGCGGTGCGCTGTCACCCTTTCTACATAAAAATCAGTCAAATCATGTAATGTGAATGTCGTACAGTCTTGCTTGAGACTAAAAAAAACGAGTTGAAAGCGTACCGAGCCGTGGAAGAGACACTGGGCCCTATCATACACCCAGCGCAATGCGGCGCCAGGCACGACGCAAGTGTTTTTTGCTGGTTTCAGCCAGATGTAGTAATCATTTTCACGTCATGCGCCACATTGTTTAAATAGCAAATGCATTTGCGCCCATTTGTGCACCCATGGGCGTGCTGGTCTGAAAACGAGGTGTGTTCAGGCGCATTGCTGGCGCGTTGCTATTTTGAGGCAACTGAAATAGACTGCGCCATTGACCAACTAAAACCTGGTCTAAAGTCAATGGCGCAGTATTTTTTTTTTATTATTTAAAGAGCGTGTTAGTAATATGCGCCTATAAGCGGGTGCACAACGCGGGTACACTCTGCTTATTACACACACAGGGACGCACAGCAGCACACAAACATGCCAAATATTACAAATTAAAGGATTGCAATGTCAAAGATTATTATTGTGTAGGCTACATAAATATAAACATGCCTACATGCCATAATGGATAGTCATTGCATGTATCAGAAGTAGGCTACCTATTTGCTCGCGCACGAGCAGATCCGTTTCCTCTCTGGAGACGCGTTCTGTCTTTGCGCTTGCAAATTCCGCCGTGTAAATAGCAAATCCGCCATGGCACGAGCACAACTGGCTCTTAAAGGGAATGGGAGATGAGACTCTGATTGGTTTATTGCACGTTATGCCCAAAACACGCCCATTACTCATTAAGAGAATAGGGACAACCCTTTTAGACCATGTGCCGACCTTTTTTCCTGTCGTTAAACTAGCAAAAGTGGGTTTGGACACGCCCTAAGTGCACATGCGCCGTGCGCTTTAGACCATGTGCTTAGATCGTTAAGATAGGGCCCACTGTTTCTCAAGCACTTTCCGCGAACGCGATTCGAGACGGAGTGAAACACGGACAAATGAGTTTCATTCATTCGTTCATAACCACTCATACCCCACTTCACCACTTTTTGCTAGTTTCAGCCCGCCGAAGCTATCATTTTCACGTCCCCATTTGTGCGCTCATGGGCGTGCTGGTCTGAAAACGAGGTGTGTTCAGGCGCATAGTTGGCGTGTTGCTATTTTGAGGCAACTGAAATTGACTGCTCCATTGACTAACTGGTCTAAAGTCAATGGCGCAGTATTTTTTTTTTATTATTTAAAGAGCGTGTTAGTAATATGCGCCTATAAGCGGGTGCACAACGCGGGTACACTCTGCTTATTACACACACAGGGACGCGCAGCAGCACACAAACATGCCAAATATTAAAAATTAAAGGATTACAATGTAAAAGATTATTATTGTGTAGGCTACATACATATAAAAATGCCTACATATCATAATGGATAATCATTGCATGTATCAGAATTAGGCTACCTATTTGCTCGTGAATCTGCCATGGCGCGAGCGCAACTGGCTCTTAAAGGGAATGGGAGATGAGACTCTGAATAATTTATTGCATGCTATGCCCAAAACACACCCATTACTCATTAAGAGAATAGGGACAACCTTTTTAGACCGTTTTTCCCATCGTTAAACTAGCAAAAGTGGATTCGGACACGCTCTAAGTGCACCTTCGCCATGCGCTTTAGATCGTGTGCTTAGATCGTTAAAATAGGCCCCATAATTGCAAAAAAAAAGAAGGTCGCAATTATTCTGAGATAAAAAGTCACAATTACCTTTTTTATAATTTTTTAAAGATACATTTTAAATAAATGAACACAAATAAAATAAAACTACCCAACATTTAAGATGCGTATGACAAAACACTGGTGTCATAACCATGATCCCCATAATAAAAGGCAGCTCTCTGCAGTGTGGAAACAGCCTCCATCCATCACACCGAGGCTGTAGCTCCAAGCTAAAAGCACCACCACCGACTGATCTGAGAACAGAGTATCATATCATCCACACTAATTACAGCCGTCTGCGGCCCGGGCCACAGGCTGACCTCAGAGCAGAACTCACATTGCATTGTGACCTCGATGATACAGTTCTCCTCTCCTACATCGTTGCTGGCGGTGCACTTGTAGACCCCAGAGCTGTCCTGCGTCAAGTTCCTCAAGGTCACGATCTCTGGGTTCTTCAGATCTGAAAATAGAAAGCAATTTATATTGCTGTACATATATGAGCTGAAACACAACTACAATCTATTAGCTTGGACGTTTTGGCAATTGTAATTGTTAATTTCTTCAGCTACACATAAGCCAGAATCTGCCTCCATCGATCAACAACAGATGCACTGAACCGTTTTACTCGGATATATGTCACAATACAGAAGAAACAATCTGATTCTGCTTTCATTACATCACGGCTTTAAAGGGTTAAAATCACCACCAGTCCCCTGAGAAGAATTAGATATGTGTGTTTTATTTTGAAGGTTTTCTCTTATGTCCACTTCTCAAGGACACACTGCTGATGAAGCAGGGTTATGATATTAGTAACTCTCCAGTCCTGAAGCTACAAAACAGCGTTAGCAGGGTTACGCGTCTTTTACTACTTCCTTTACCACTCTACTTTACAGGCTTCAGTCAAACAGAATGGGGAGTGAAGTGAGAGAGAGCCCAGTGCAGTGAATGAATTAGTGTTTGAGTGTGTCAAGGTGATTCACGGTTCTGCTGAACTCCAGCGAATGAGATGAATAGTATATGTTTTCCTGTAGCCGGTGAGAAAGCTCTCGTGTCCTGAGAACTGAGAACCTCACGTGTGTCTTTAGCCGAGGAGCGTTTGTCAGCCGGAGCGATTTGAGACGCCGGGATCATTTACTCTTCCAGGATCTAACGCCTCCTCTTTCATCCCTGCATCCCTGTCCCATCATCCTTCTCTCTCATCCACTGTCTGCTGTGAATTCTGGGGCGGTGGAGTGTTTATCAGCCAAAGAAAGCTGATTAGAGTGAGCAGGTGGTCATTGATGAGGCTGGTTAATTGTTGAGTTTGGGTGAGGGTCTGCAGCACTGACTGCAAGCGGCTAAATAGATTGTAAAACAATATGCGGCTCTGATGATCTGGTGTCAGCAGGAGAAATCGCTCAGAATCAGTGCATTACTCCGTCCCATCTGCAAAGCCATATTACACTCGAATTTGTGTAGCTCTTGCACTTTTGTTGTTTTGTTTTCCCAAGCAGAACCCAATGAGATTGAATTCTAATGTAATAACTGCCAAAGGCTGTTGAACATCTTTTGCTTATTTTATTATTTAGTTGAGACATTTTTTTGTCATTTTTTTTTGCCTACCCAAGGTCCATATGATGCATTCTAGACGTGGGTGGTGTAACTGAAATTTGTAATTCTAATTTCATAGTTTATCACAGTAAAAGCTTAGTAGTTCAGCTGGGAAACAACGGTTCAAAAGTTGAAAAAAGTAAGAAATTAATACTTTTATTCAGCAAGGATGCATTCAATTGATCAAAAGTGACTGTAAAAGACTTTCTAGTCATCAAAGAATCCTGAACTGAAATAAATCCTTTATCTGAATTAAAATAAAATTTAATTCATTTTAACTCGATGCAATAAATAAAACATAAACTGGAAAAAATAGTAAAAAAACAACAACATAAAAACACACAACAAAATGACTAAAAACTAAATTTACAAAAAAATACAACTAACATTAAAATAAAAAATAATAAAATTATGCAAAAATTAAGTAAACATTAAAATAAAATTAAAAACTAAAATAGTATCTCCATCATACTAAAACAGTACTGATGACAATTATTTACTACATGCTAAGGAAATAATAATATAATATAATATAATATAATATAATACTATTTTTATATAATAAAAATATTGTGTTTCCACAAAATACTGAATATCACAACCATTTTTAACATTTATAATAATAAGAAATGTTTGTTGAACAGCAAATTTCTGAAGGATCTTGTGACACTGAAGACTGGATTAACAATGCTGCAAATTCAGCTTTGCATCACAGGAATAAATTACATTTAAGATATATTCAAGTAGAAAACCTTTATTTGAAATTTGTAATATTATTTCACAATATTACTGTTTTTTTCTAACAGAACCTTTGAACAGAACTGAATCTACGAAATATGTTTGAAGGCATGTGTGACTGAGTAGATTATGCTTGTGTTTCGATCGTACTGCATTTACCGATATAATACCGCACAGCTCTAATGCATAGAGGCTAATATCAATAGAGCTGTTGAGATCTCTTCTAATCTCATTGTCTGTTTGCCATGCAACGTCTGCGATTCAGAGCACACAGGTTTAATCTGCAACAATCAGCACTTCTGTGCAAAAACTACTCGATGCATTTGCTAAAGTGTGTGAAGTTCATGGCATCAGATCTTTCGAGATTATTATTTGAGACAGTCAGCAGCAAGGAACTGTACAGACCAGAATAAGTTATGATACGCTCTAGTCTCGCTTGCCAGGCTTTGGGGTGTTTGACTCACCGATGAGTGCGCGGGAAGGCAGTTTTCCCACGCTCTTGCCCTTATCCAGAACTCTCTCCCATTTGTAGTGAATAGGGTCGGATCCGTCTGAAGACTTACAGCTCAGTTTCACATCACTGCCCTCCAGAAGCCGGCCATCCATCCAGCAGCGGGGTTTAGACGGCTTCACTGTGAACGAGAAAATGCTCATGTTAAGTTTACTAATTAGTCGTTTAATATTTATATCCAAAGCAGCTTACTATGGAATCCACAGGTGCTTAAATGCCGTTTTCATGGGCATAACAGTGAAACTTCAAGGATCAATCCTTGTGGTTGCAAACCAAATACCATTTAGTTACAGGTTTTATTTAACATTTATTTAACATTAAGAATTAGTTTAGGTAACTACAACAACCCTGATATATCATCATATATAGTATATACAGTATACACAGCATACTGGTATATACACACACATATACATATATATATATATATATATATATATACTGTATATACATACACTCACACAATATCCACCAGGTGGCGCAAGGAACAACATTCTGCAGTTAAACAACCAGACAAGGTCTACGATGGCGTTTTAGTGCAGTGAAATAAAAAAATAAAAAATAAAGTTAAAACAAAAATTGTATAAAGAAATAGGATTACGAGATTAAAGTCCTAATATTTTGAGAATAAAATCAAAATTACGAGAATAGTCGTAGCCATATTGTTGAGAATAAAGTCGTAGAAATATGCAATTAAAGTCATAATATTTTGAGAATAAAGGCGTAGGATTATGTATAACCGCGTTTTAGTGCCACGTTAAAAAAAATCTAAGATAATATTTTGAGAAAAAAAATACAAGAATAAAGTTGTAGCAAATGCAAGATTAAATTATAATATTTTGAGAGTATTGCACATGCAAATGGCCAGGATTGGGAGCACCAGGAGAAATTCCGGTGGCCTGGCAACTGATTTCAATACATGTTGGATAATTAGCAGAAAGCATAGCATGTGTCATATACTCCCAGGGACAGTATGCTTGAAAATAATATTTCACGTCTTCGGTTGCATTTATTATTTGTAGTGCACCAGTCCTCCATAGCAATAAGCTTTGTGCTTTTGGTACTTTTAATAAAAAACAAAGCCTCAGCTTTCAAATTCTGTCAGTTTTATAGCGAAATACAAACAATATGTCTTACAATAATGTGTTTTTTATGCTCTTTAATGTGACGTGACAGAACACTGTATTCGCATCAGTTAAAGCGGCATGAGAATCAATCATATTTTCATTTACGAATGAGACATTCGTTTAATTAAATTATACTGTTTTTTATGCCTTCTGATGTATAACTTGTAATAAAGAGGAAAACACATTTATTTGTATTTCGTGATAAATCTGACAGAATTTTAACTTTTTTTTTTTTTTTTGCTATGCTGTTTGTGTATATAGTGTCAAACAATATATAGTTTGATATGTTGAAGCAGTATTTCAAAATTTCAGATGAAACTAAAACTTGCAAACACAGCACACTGGCATGTTTGGAGGGAAATCAATATCAAAGAGGCAATCAATCTGAATTGTGACATTTGGGGAGGCAGGGGTCAGGATTTGTTGTCCTTCACGCTGACTGCTTTGAACTCCCCTCTGACCTTACGCAGCACATCAGAATCAACACAGAAGTCAAATCAAAGATCTCACTGCCTCACAACAGTTACCAAGTGACCCCAGACCAGTCCCACTGGCATCCTGCTTACCGCAGCACTGCTCTAAACTGTTCTGGGGTCAGTTAGACAGGCCTGTCCAGAGGGATTTGTCTGGAGGCTGAATGGCAGTTAAGAGACAGCCTGTAGTCCTCTGTGGCCCCTTTTGGCCCTACTGACCCTCTCTATAAACACACCAAAAGGACACAGGAACCAATTCAGTGTATACTTGTTTGTCTTGGGTCCACAGCCAAAACATTATTTTATCTGCATGGACAGGATATGCAATGATTAAAAATATGGAGGTTTCACAGTCAATATATCCTCAGATTTTTGTTCAAGCAGAGCAAATCTATTTATAAATGGGCAGATGCTTTAACCAACTGAACAGAAACACTCCATATACTGCAGTGTATACAGTGCAGTGCATTTTTTAAGTTCTTTTAAAAATTCAAATATTATCAAATATATATTATTTTACTAGGCAATTTATCACATTTTACATTACACCATAACTAAAAACACAAAAATACAGTATAAAAGTCCAAAAGCGGGGTTTTTGTTCTGACTCAAATTGTCATGCTCATAATATAATTTGCAATTAATAATTTTGTATTAAATTAGAAAAATGCAAAAAGTGGTCTCAGAATTATGTGTCCCAGAAAATATTTAGATGAAACTGTATCAGGATTGAGACTATTAGTTAACTATAATTAAAACAAAAACTAAATCCATAAAAAATTGTTACTTTAAATGAAATTGTCAGACTCTGTTCCATGTTTCGTGTGTGTCCTGCTCCCCATGTGCCTTCCCATGCCCTTATTTGGTTTGTTTCCTGTTCCTCCCCTGATTAAGTTGATTTCTTCCCAGGTGTTTCCCTTGATGTGTCATGGCTCCCAGGTGTGTCTCGTCATCCCCTCCTCCTGTGTGTGTGTATATAAAGTGTTCCCAGCCCCTAATTCTCTGTCCGATGTTGAAGGTCTTCGTGTGTACGTCTTCCTTCCTGTATACGTCTTCCTGAGTTCGTCTCCCTTGGTTCCTTCCTACGAATAAAGTCTCTTGTGTAAAGTATTCTCCAGCGTCTCCTCGTCCCTCGTGTGTGTGCACCCGTGACAGAAATACACGTTAACTAAAATAAAATATATATATATATACAGTGTATATATTAAAAAAAAAATTAACTTATATTATTTAAGTTAGTTGCCAAGGCAACATTTTCGTTTACTTCATGTACTAAAATAAATACAATTAAAACGGAAATAGCTATTAATAAAAACTATGTAGTCATATTTAAAAATAATTATTAAAAATTACAAAAACACAACAAATTTACTAAAACTTTCACTAAAATTTAAATAAAAACAGAAAATACTAAAATGAAAACGAATTAATAAAATCTATAACAGTATCTCAGTGATACTAAAATAACACTGGTCAGGATGATTTAATATAGTGATGTTGCCTTGTTTTGTTGTTCACAAGAAGACAGTAAAATAATAATGTATGGCTTCTGTTGACTGTATGATTAGAAACCGTCATTATTCTTGCAAATCCGTTTGGCATCCGAAATAACTTTACTCTTGTAGGATGCGGTCCTTATCTCATAAAATAATCAGCAAACAAGATTTTTCACAGCTTCAGCTCCATATTGAAAATCAATGGACATGCGGATGGACTCCAGTTGAAACGATGCCCATTTATTTAGCTCTGATTGAGGAAATCTCAAGAAACAAGCAGAGCTTAGAGGGAACATTGTTGCAGGCAGTTTATTAAAAATCTCCACAGCCTAATGATTAATGCCTGTGAGACTTGTGTAATTTACTGGGGCTGGTTGCACCATAGTATTTATTGCTCCTTACAGACATATACATGTAAAACTATTTCCTGATTAAGTATTGTTTTTCAATGGGAACTTAGTTTTACTATTAGTTATGTGGATAAACTGAAATTCACTCACAACTGAATGCATTTCAAAGCTGCTGTTTGATCACTGAAGGTAAATGTCATATTGTGTGACTACGCATTACTTACAACCTACATTTAGCTATACATTCTGCCTTAAGAACCAATGGTGCAACCATTTAGTAGTTTTGGGTCCAAATCATTAACCAACTGAGTTTGAGTGTGAGAAGTTTATTAATGTCTTGTTATCTTAATTTTATGTTGATACTTATTTTTCATGTATGTTTCGTGTATGTTTTTTACAAATTTTCAGTGTCAAGTTCACCTGAGTGCGTCCGAATCAGAGTTCATTCATAATTTCAGCACGAGTCCAAGTACCCCAACTCTAGTTACTAAGCCTCTGGTGTGTCTAATTCAATTCAGAACTTAAGAACAACTGGTGCAACCCTACCGTGATCATTTCCTGTCCGTTCTCAACTGCAAATTTCGAAAATAATGTGAACACTAGCTCCCGGTAATGTGTTTATAGAGTGACGGAGAGGAAAGAGGAAGAAGAGTAGCGAGAGAGACAGGGAGTGGAGAAGGGGGATTATGGGAAGGCAGTATTGAGCTAATCTTCTGTGATATGTTAATAAATGAGAGAAACTCTGGGGTGGAGGCCGGATTTACATCAATCCATCCTCCCATTTCTCTCTCTCTTTCAACTTTTCGCCAATATCCTGTCCCTCTGTGGCTAGCGTACTAATCTGTTAATAAAATGACTTAGGAAATAAAATTAAGACGTGATATACAACTTCAAACTGCTCGGCATAAGCTGCGAGTCCTTGAAAATAGGAACTATGCACCAAGAGCATATGATAGAGATGAGGCTAAATAAAAAGAAACATGTTTCTTTCCAGTTCTTCTCTTGGCTGAGAGCTGTGGTGTCAGAGGTACTGCGCTTGAAACCCTGCGGTCTAATAATGGAAACCAGACATAGCAAAATATCAAATCATAAGAAGCTCATCTGAACCTCATTTGGGATGACAGTAAACTGTTTTGCTAGAAGAAGAGAAATCACATAAGCTCCTAATTCTGTCTCTTCTGTTTTTAAGAGATAGAGCACAATCAATGTTCCCTCATCCCACCATTTCAAATTAACATGCTCTCCATTTACCGTCCAAAGTGAAGCAAACATCACCAGAGGTGAGAGTGTCTGGCCAGCGAATGCAAGCAATCATATTTCTAGATTATGTCAATAATGGCCAAATTTTGTATGATCAAATCGAATCACAGCGAGGCTGGCTGATGGAGGAAACGATTGGGCGCTGATTCCAGGAAGATGAGCCTTACCCAGCACAATAAGGTTGACTTGGCTCCAGTGGTATTTGCCGCCGGTCTTGACCTTACAATGGTATTCTCCAGAGTCGGCCAGCTGCAGATCGTTGATCAGGAGAGAGGCGTCTCCGTTCAGGTAGTCGCCTGCAAAGGACAGACGACTGGCATGATTGTCGTTAGTGTAGACCTCGTTGTTGAAGAATGTGATGATCTAAAATGAGAGAGACAGAGCTTTCGTATAAATATAGATGAAAGAAATCAGTGGAATCAGACACCATATTTCAGTTGACGCCAAATAAAATAGCCTGAGCGGGATACAAATACACAAATGATTCAGTCCATCACAACCTTATTTTCATTCATGTCAAATGAAATATGACATCTACTCTAACTTAGGTCTATAATGAAAGCAAAAGTCGTCAACTAGTAGTACAGTAGGAAAGCATACTAAACTCTTAACCCTAATTATGAAACTGTGGGTCGTAACTTGCCATTTGTGATAGAGGTACATAAATAATACTTAAGGAAAGGGGCATTATTGGTTCATCAGACTTATGATTTGTGGCTTAATAGATACAGAAAACAAACAACAAAAAACACTAGAAATCTGAATTTCATAGAAACCTGGGGTGGGTTTTGACTTCGGCCAACAAGCAACCGCCTAAAACAACAACCACAACATCATGCTAAAAACACTTAAAACACCTCAGAAATGCATAGCAACTCATTGATAGCAACTTAAAACACCCTAGCAATGACCTAGCAACACTAGCAGCCACATATCAACAAGCTAAACCAATCAGATTAAAATTACTACCCAACTAACAATGACCTAGCAACTGTAGTAGCCACATATCAACATGCAAAACACTCAGAATACCTAAGAAACACACAGAAATGTCTAACATCCAAACCCCCTAAAACCCACGCAGAATGCACAAAATGCGACATAGCAACATGCTGAAAACACTCAAAACACATCACAAACTCATAGTCATTTTTGGAATGTGATTACATAATCCAGATTACATGTAATCAGTTTACTACAGTTACTAACTAAGATTGCATTCAACTTGATCTGGAGTATTTACACACCTGCTAACCGTTCCAATATGGCAGACTGCTTACATATAGCGGCCCATAGAAACAGCCGCTAATGAGGCATCTATATCTATGGTAATGCTCTAATGGCAACTTCTCACAGCAATCTAGCATTGTAGCATGGAACTTTGCATTGGAAAGCACTCTCATTTTCCTCAAAACTGGTTGTTTCATTATTTTTCATCTGATGGGTACTTTGCGACAACTGTACTGCTCTGTACAAAAGGCAAAAGGTTTTCTAATATAAGAACCTCTACCTGTACCGACTGCCATGGAAAAGATGCTAAATGGCTGTCGTACACAAACACAGCTGCCAACACACACATTCACACACAGTTTGACGGTGACAGCCTCCTGAATGCCTGGGGTAAAGGACTAAACACTGATGCCACTACACATCAGCAGACCTGCGGCCGGGTCCACCTGCCAGAGCCGTCTGCGATTGCTGCTCGTCTCGCACACACACACTACAGCATGACCGACAGGAGAAAACTCTGATGCGCTACTCATTTGCATTTCTGGCAAAACATCTGTGATTCTTATTGTATGCATTCTGTATCACTGACAGTCACAACATGATGCTCTTTGTCATATTTATGTAGATTACAAATGACAGCAAAATTATCTTCTCTAGCATAATCTTCTTGAACACGAGTCAAATCTGAGTCACGGGTTTTGGCTTCACTTCAAAGAAAGAGTTTCTGTAATGTTAGCATTAGCCAAGGAGGTGTAATATAGCTGGAGAGAGCTATCTGTTAGCATTTCCATTCATCACAAAGGCAGCTGCATGGATGTCATATAGAAGTCGCCTGTGTGAACTACATGCGACATAGGCCTAGTACTACGTGAACACAAAGTCAAAGGCAAGTGTGCATTGCTGGGAAGAAGAAGAAGAAAAATAACCTTCCTAAGCTGTTTTTACAGTCTCTCAGTCTGGTCTATTACCCAGACTATTAAAGGGTTTTTAGGTACTTTTTTAGATTAGCAAGCTGGGAGACTAGCTTAAACGAGCTAAGACTAGCAACCACCCAGAACACCCTAGCAACTGCCTAACAACCCCCCTCAGAATACCCTATCAACCACCTAGCAACAACATAGCAACCAATCAGAACACTCTAGCAACCATCCAGCAAACACCTACAGTGTCCTAGCAACTGCCTAGCAACCACCAAGAACACCCTAACTACCACCTAGCAATGGCCTAGCAAACTGGCAAACTAGCAACACCCCAGCAACCAACTAGTAACCACCCACAACACCCTGGCTAGCAAGCAGCCAGGACACCAAGTAACCACTTAGCAACAGCCTAACAACCACCCAGAACACAATAACAACCACCTAACAACACCTGAGCAACCAACGAGCAACCACCCACAACACCCTGGTTAGCAACCACCCAGAACACCTTAATAACCACCTAGCCTAGCAACCTACCCCCTAACAACCAGCTTGTAATCATCAACAACAATCTATCTATCTATCTATCTATCTATCTATCTATCTATCATCTAAACTTTCATTTCAGGCTTTCTCAGGACAACATCATTGTCTTGACATCTAGTTTTAAATTGTAATAATTTAATAACAATATTACTGTTTTTACTGTACTTTTGACCAAATAAATGCAGCTTTGGTGAGTAGAGATAATCAAAATGTACTTTCGAATAGGCCATCAGTGGAAAAAGATGGTGTAGTTAAGGCATATACCAGCAGGGGTTACCTGGGACACGTTAAACATGTAAATCTTGACCTATTGCCATTAACAACAATGTTCTTGAGAAGAAAACGCCTACTAGGGCTGAACGATTTTGGAAAATAATCTAATTGCGATTTTTTTTACCAATATTGCGATTGCGATTTTACTACACATTACTAAACAAGCTGTGGTTAAATGTTGACAAGCCGAACACTTCTAGTTACACAGGCCGGTGTAACAGTGGAACAAAGGAATTACTTATTCATTATGCCAGGGGCTCGTTTTGATTCCAAATCAAATTTTCAGACATTTGATTTTAATTAATGGCATCTCAAATGTTATCGTTCCGTTAAATATTACATGTGATGGACAACCCGTCCCATAGGCTTCGAAGACTCTGATGCGAGTTTCTTTATAGGCCTTTCTGTCTTCTGAAATGAAATCTCAGCTGATTACGAAACAGATCTGCGTTGACATTCAAACATTCAAAGTCTGTTATGTGTGGGAACAAAAAGCCTTATCGCAATCAGATAATTAAATTAATCTGAAAGTATATCGCCTGACTGTCACGTATTGACTTCCCCCTGATGAATTATGGCGCACTGATACATAACGGATACCTAAACTCAAAGCTGTGTTCTAACAATGTTCGTTTCACAGTGAAAGATTCTCACTTCAGACAGATAAGACGAAGCTCTTATCTGAATGTGTTTATGCGAGAGCGAGAGAGAAGAGAGATGGGTGAAGCGTCTGTTAGGTGTACTGATACAGATGGGTATGTATTTCAATGAGAGATGTGTAGAAAAAGCTGATTCAGACCTGTGACAGGACGGGAGAAGCACTGTGCTCAAAAACCTCAGGCAGCCATTGTGACTGCTGTATCACTGAGAGAGACGACAGTTAAAGGGGTCATATGATGCTGCTAAAAAGAACAGTAATTTGTGTATTTGGTGTAATGAAATGTGTTTATGCGGTTTAAGGTTCAACGCACACAGCGTCTTTACGACATGGCAGCGGAAACAACAAAACTATAGCGAGAATAAAAGTTACGCCTTCTTTCTTTGCGTGAACATTTGGGCGGTGTTATGCAAATCTTCCCACAGAGCGACGTAGGTATGTTGGGGCGTGTTAGAACGAGCCATTTTAGGTAGGTGTGGCTGACTCTTAACTTTTATAAAGAATATCTCTTTGGATTTGAGACTTTAGTCTTTGCAACTTTACAGATCTTCTTTATGCACCAAGAGCTTGTAACACTCCAAAGAGAAAGGAAAAATTGAAATCGCATCATATGACCCCTTTAAAACTAGGTGGTTGCTATGGTGTTTTGGGTGGTTGTTAGGTTGTTTTGAGTACCATCATGATGGTACCGACAAACAGAATAAAATCTTTAATAAAGGGGTGACTTTCACTTTTCACTCAGTTTTTTAAGGACTATAACATCATTGCGAAAAGTATTGGTTCACTGAGAACAATATATGTACAGTGTTTCATACATATACGCACATGTATGTACGATATATGCAGTTTGTGGTATGTAAGTAAGCTTGGGCCCTAATAATAATATTTCCATTTGTTTTGTTGTTGTCAAAATGTGCATATTTTGCTAATACAGGAAAAATACATTAGTAACACACTGAAAAATAAACCATGTTAGTTGAACGGTAGTCCTACAACTTGCCAAAAAAGATTACGAAAATAATTTTTGGTTACACTTAATTTCGATAGTCCACTTTAGACATTCTACTAACTATACGTAACTTTGCATCTACATCAACTACATTCATTTTAAACTACGTTAACTGTCATTTTTAGTAGTTTTAGTAGACTGGTAAGTTAGGGTTAGTTGAATAAGTTGACATGTACTTGCAAATTTATTTGTAGTAAGTCGAATGTCTGTTGGGGACCATCAAAATAAAATGTTAGCAGATATTAAGCAGACAGTCTACTAATATTCTAATGACTTAAAAGTTACTTCAAATTAGTTCAGTGTCTAAAGTGAACTATCCAAATAACGTATTACTTTTTTTTTGGACAATTTGTGCAACACAACATTATCCTGAACAAACTACATAGCAAGTAATTTGTCTGGAAATTGTCTCCAGGATGTTGGGAATAAAACATTAACATTCACAAATTCAAAATAAATTCCCTGGTTTGTATCTGTAAGGCTAAAATCACCTCACAAGCACATATTTAAACAAGGTGATTGGAAGGAGATCAGAAGGACGGATGCAAATACAAAACTCATGTCCAGAGAACAAAATCTAAGTGAAACTGAAATAAAATAAACAAGAGGCAATGAGTGAAGACAAGACAAATTTTGAGAGGGCATGAAAAGCAAAATATCTCTCACCACACGTTGTTTGACGTTGGGTTTCTGCAGGAGCCATTCGATGTCCAGTGTTTGTCCATTCGACTGCCAGAACTGGTGATGACAAGGCAATGTGGCATTGTCCCCGACAACCCGCTTCATCTCGGTCTGAGCCCCGGCCGAGAGTAAACTCAACAGCACTGTAGAGAAAGAAGCACGTACAACATGTCTATGAGATCACGCAATGGTATATATCATGAAATGTTAATCGCGTAGCACCTGCACTAAACTCTAACAGATAGTGTTAAGAAAAACACATGTGAGATCAAAACATATTTTCTGAAACAACCATGCCATTTTAGCTGGCTTCTATAAGTCTTTGAGCGCTTTTATTGTGACTCATGTTTACCAGGACTTCCACCCGAGTGCTGCACATCACAAGTCTAATGCTGTACCGGGTGCGCTACCGAGCAAATTTACTGCCAGAAAAAGCAAACATATGAAGCTGGTTATGTGATGCAAACATCAAAATTAATTTGTTTACAAAAGTATTTTGCGGTCGTAACATAGCATTGTGCAAGAAACCACACAAAAGAAGTCTTTATTAATGAATAATCTGCCCCATAATCATAATTTATGTGAAAAGGCATAACAATTAGTTGTATTTTATTACTTTTAGTGTTGATTTCAAACTGGAAACTGCAGTGAATTGTATGTATTGGTTTTTGGAGTTTTAAAAATGTAGGTAGAGGGACCTTTTTTCAATGACCTTTTGTTGTTTTTCTATGAAGATTAATTCAGGCATGCTATTCTAATGAAAAAAATAGGGGCTAATTGCACCATGCTAACCAGCCAAACCTTAAACTCTTAGTTCTGCTGATGTAATTAAGGCCTTTGGGCAGAGAAAAATAATCTCAAACAATAATATCATATCCCATTATGATCCAATCAGATCCTGGTGGATAAAATGTCTCTTTTTCACAATTGGGAATTGGGAATGTTTCACATGGGAATACAATTCAGAAGTTACGTGTTGTGAATGACATTTCATGTTGTTCATGTTGTACTAAACATTTTTTACAGGTTCAATTTTTGACAACAAAGTTCTACTACAAGACTGAAATGATCATTCAGTCTAACAAAACACACTGCAGCAGCACGTAAAATACTTAAGTACAACCTTGGAAGATTAGCAAATACCAAATTCACACATTTTCACACTCTTCAGATTGATAAATTTACAAATGCACCACCAAATGGCAAGTCCACATCAAGTACGTTATTTCAGACAGGGCCTCTAGGAACCCAGAGTCTTTTCTGCTACTGGGATCCGGGCTAATTTACTGGAGGCTGCTGGACATTGCCGGAGGCTTGAGTAGCATTACAGACAGGCATCGTGGGGATTTGCAGACTAGTTAGATCCCATGAGGGACGAATAGGATGAGATGCGCAATTTCTTCCACCTGCTGAGAGGAACTTGCAATACAAACAGTACAGCATACTCGCAGCTTCACCAGTCTTATTTGTGCAAAACCAACAGATATTTATGGAGCTCTGGCATTAGCATAACATTAAACTTAATCTGCTGTCAAATATTGCAAATAGCTGCAGACTCTTCACGTATGCAACTGTTGCTAAAATGATGCCAGCATACACATACGTCCTGCTTCTGTAAATATTATGACATTTCCTCATTTTAGCTCTTCAACCCAAGGGAATAGGGAAGAAAATGAGCTTGGGATTGATGGATGTGCCGTTTTAAATGTGTTTTGTCTGGCTGTGCTCATTTGGCAATCATCATGTCATGTTAAGAATGCATGTGCCACGTGTCGCTGGCAATGCCAGGCTCGTGATTAGTTGACTGACATGCATGAGTGACTGTCCTCAACCACCTGTGCCAAAACACCGCTCCTACTGCATCATTATACAAAGTCAACGGGCTGTAATGCATCCGATTTACGGTTCCTGGAGTCCACCGGGGCATGTGGCCAGGTGACCGCGACAAGTCTTCATCACTATATGCAAGCTGCAAAAGTATACTCAGAAAGTTCTCAGAGCTGTGATCTAAACCGAACGGTAATGCACCGTAATGCACATACTCACTGCTATTGCTTATGCTGATGTGGACGACTTGGGGCTGACATTTTTTTAGCCTGCTGTTCAAACAAACATTTCTGGAGCCTCTTAACGTAAAGCCAAATACGCACCAGTACATAGATTTCCAGAGCCATGGCCTAACGTTTATCACTTGAGTTCCCATACGTTGAGCTTTAATGCTAATGCTAATACAGATGACTTGAGTCTGACAATTTTGTCTGCATTTTAGATGTTCAAACAAACATTTCTGGAGCTTGTAGTCAAAATGCAAATCCAGTAACTCCTCAGTACATACTTTTTTAAAGATGTGGCCTAACAGTTAGCACATGAACTCCAAAACATAAGCTTTAATGCTAATGCAAATTTGGATGACTAGAGTCTGACACTTGATAGCATTTTAGATGTTTGAACCAACATTTTTTATTTTTATTTTGTTGTCCTAATTGAAAGAAAACTCTTTAGTACATTATTTTCCAGACCTGCCTACCAGTTAGCATATGAGCTCCAATACACTCAGCTTTAATGCTAAAGCTAATGTGGATGACTTGAGTTTGATACTTTTGTTAGCATTTTAGATGTTTGAACCAACATTTTTTGGAGTTTGTTGCCCCAATTTAAGGCCAAATATTCTTCAGTATGTTGTCTTCAAGAGCTACCTAACAGTTTTAGCGCAAGAGCTCCAATACACTGAGCTTTAATGCTAAAGCTAATGTGGATGTCTTGAGTCTGACACTTTTGTCAGCATTTTAGATTTTCAAAGAAACATTTTTTGGAGTTTCTTGTCAAAATGTAAAGCCAAATACATTCCTGTACATAATTTTCCAGAGTTGTGGCCTAAGGTTACCACATGAGCTCCAACACAGTGAGCTTAAATGCTAATGGTAATATGGAATACAAGATAATTTTATTTGTTCAACCAAACCAAAATTTTTTTTCCAGTTTGTTGTCCTTATTGAAAGCTACTCTTCAGTATACTCTTCAGCTCCAATGCATTGCGCTTTAATGTGGATGACTTGAGTCTGACACTTTTTGTCAGCATTTTAGATGTTCAAACTAACATGTTTGTAGTTCCCCTTCAGGAATTCAAGCTGCGTCAAAACTCTATGGGAACGCCTTTTGCGTGACCACGCTCTGAATCACGTGTGTAATCAGTCCAATGGATGGGCGAGACGTCACGGGCGGGGTGACGTAGCGACCAGGAAGCTTAAAAGCACGTGCGTTGGATACACAGGCAGTAGTGGTGGAAATTTTGATTCTTTCAAGAGTTTCGTTCATTTTCAGTTCATTCACCAAAATTATTCTTTCTGATTCGTTCACTGATTCGTTCAGTGACCATTTCTTCATATTATATAAATACGCCAGCAGGTGGCGAAAAATAGTGTCTTATTTGTTATGTCTTAAGTCAACGAACGTATTTACTTGTTACAAAAACTGATTTGACTTTATTAAAATGTCTAAATAAGTTGTTCCATGTACCATTGACATATACCAGTTCGGTCATTTCATTCACGAACGAGCTAGATGTAGCAGTTCATTCAAATCGTTCACAAACGAGATGTATCAGTTCATTCAACTCGTTCACGAACGACATGTACCAGTTCTGTCATTTCATTCACGAACGAGATGTAGCGGTTCATTCAACTTGTTCACGAACGAGATGGACCAGTTCATTCAACTCGATCACGAACGACATGTACCAGTTCGGTCATTTCGTTCACGAATGAGAAGATCTCTCGATCTCGTTCAGACTCAAAAGAACCTCGTTCAGTGAAGGGCATATTCGTTCACTACATTCAACAAATCACATGCTCCGTCACATCTCAAACTCGAAGGCTATTGGCTCGAGGTTTAGTCATTATTGACAGGATGAAATAGTCAACAGAGCTACCCGGTTCACCGAGCTGCGCATGCGCTGCTAATTGCAGCCGCGCTGCTCTGGAGGGAGGAATTTCAGTGAACGAGAAATATGAGTCAATGGATTACGTGAATGAGAACGATTCGTTCACCTAAAAGATTAGTTCCAAAAAGAACGATTCGTTCACGAACGAAACGTCACTAACAGGCAGCTTTCTGTCATTCAGCAAGTGCTCTGTGTGTCAGTCTTATTTATTGTTGTCTGTCCCAGTTGCACAAGCATATTAACAAAGCTTAAGGGCGAGAGCAAGCAGCATGGTAGACTGTGTTCCTCCCTGCCCGCGTTACATTACAGGTGGGGATACACACGTTTTGTGTGTTGTTTGCTGAGGAGCGGAGCTCACACAGTCAGCTCTCGAGGGGGCTAATTGTGCTTCTACCCACTGCAAACGCTCCGCTCCCGCCGGGCACACTCCGGGGAGTGTGTCCGTGTTTGTGATCGTTGCAGTTCCAGTCCCGCTGCTGCTGAGGCACGGCGGCTATTGAGATTGCAGGGATCGCACTTGGATCTAGCAGCCGGGTTGGAGACGGGCTCGCCCTTTCTCCGCCCATGCTGCGGTCTCTTCCCCCTCTGAGTGAGAGCTCGCTGCTGCAGCTATCTTTCTCCGAGGAGATTGATATTGTTTGCATATGAGCAGACTGCTTTTAGATCGCTCGTTCTCCCTGCCCTCGCTAAATAAGGGGTGGTTATGCACGCGATTTATGTGTAGTCTGTTTTGGAGCAGAGCACGCAGTCAGCTCTTGAGGGGGCTGGCTGTGTTCATTCTAAAAAAAAAATGAATATAAAACGTACGTTACATTGGATGTTTAGCTCTGCTCCCGCTGACGTTTCTTCTCGAGGGAAGAAAGTCTTATGCATTAGAATCGAGTGGCTCACTCGACGCGAGTGCCAAGGCAACGCATGCATTACGGGCATTCACGATTTGTTATATTGAATCCTTTCATAATCAGACCGTGTTTACTTGTCTGGTTATTTGGCTGTGTTTAATTCTGAGGAATTAAATATAATACTCTGGCTTTGAGAAGTTATACTGTGTATATATATATATATATATATATATATATATGTTTATATTATTCAGCAGGGCCCGTAGACGGGCTTCCCCCTTTCTCCTACCTCACTCTCTATATAGCTAGCTCTTGGGATAAATTCTCGAGTGAGAGCACGGTGTTTACCTCTCATCCTCTGAGGAGGTTGATGTGGTCAGCGGGGGCTGCTGGGCGGGAGCAGCCCCAGCCGTGTTCCAGCTCCTCATTCAGGGAGCATCACTTCTCGCACTCTCCAGGATTCTGGAGTCAGAGTGGTGCTCCTGGGCCGAAGGCTTCTAACAGAAGGCAGATCTGCGGACCGTCATTCTCGCTGGATAGTCTTTGGCTAAAACGTCCTGACGCCTATGGCCCAGGACTTCTGAGGGCCGGCCCCCTCTGGGGAAAAGCGGTGTACACCTCATTATACGGTGCCCGTCTCTCCTCAGTGCCCTCAGGAGATTGGTCTGTCAACCCTGCCACCTCCGGTGCTTCAGGGCACAGCGGTCTCCAGCGAGCATGACTCTCAGTATCTGCCCGGAAACGTATCGGTGCTGGGGGGCTCGCTACCTCCGAGGAGGTCTCTAGAGCAGCTAGAGCGGTCATTCCCTGCCAGTTCACCGTTTCAGGGTTCCGATCTAGCCACTCTGGTTACACCAGAGGTCAGTCTCGAGAGACTGATTCCCTTAGTAGACTATTTGGCAGTGTGGAAACTTCTGCCAAATGTGTCTCAATGGGTCCTGCACACTGTAGAGAGAGGCCACGGAATCCAGTTTGGTTCTCCACCTCCTCGTTTCTGTGGGGTTCTTCCCACTCTGGTGGGCCCCGAGCAGGCTCTGGTAATGGAACAAGAAGTAAACACTCTCTTGAGAAAGGAGGCCATTGAGGTGGTCCCTCCTCACAACAGAGAGTCCCGGTTCTACAGCCGGTACTTCATAGTTCCGAAGAAGGATGAGGTGTTGCGTCCTATTCTAGATCTGCGTCAGTTGAACCACTCAGTCACAAGACTGAAGTTCAGGATGCTCACAATCTACAAGTCGTGTCTCAGATCAGGTCCGAGGACTGGTTTTTCATGATAGGTCTGAAGGACGCATACTTCCATATCTCCATCCTTCCTCAACACAGGAGGTTCCTGAGGTTTGCATTTGGGGGCAAAGCTTACCAGTATCGGGTTCTTCCCTTCGGCCTTGCACTCTTACCCCGCACTTTCACCAAGTGTGTGGATGCTGTTCTGGCTCCTCTGCGACTCCAGGGCATCCGCATACTCAACTACATCGACGATTGGTTGATATTAGCTCATTCAGAGCAGATGGCGGTTCGGCATCGAGATGTCATTCTCGCCCATATGAAAGAGCTGGGGTTAAGACTAAACGCCAAGAAAAGTGTGTTTTCTCCAGTACAGAGAACCACTTATCTGGGCGTGGTGTGGGATTCGACCACGATGCAGGCACGTTTGTCTCCTGCTCGGATCGAGTCGATCCTCACTGCAGTCGCGAGAGTGAGAGAAGGCCGGTCACTCACTGTCAAGCAGCTCGACCCAGTTAACTGCCCAGTTGGTTCAGTGCTGGAGTTCTTGCAGGTACGGTTCTCCGCAGGGTTATCCCACTCCACCTTGAAGGCTTCCGTGGCGGCCCTAGCTGCCTACCATGCCCCTCTCGGTGGTCGGTCTTTCAGGAGAGACCCACTAGTTACATGTTTCCTCCACGGTGCGCTGAGGCTGAGGCCTCCAGCCAGAGAAGCTTATGCTAAGTGGTGGATCGGGATGCTATTCCATGGCTTTGAGTCTGCTGATCTCCCCTCTCCGTTGAGGGTCAAGGCTCACCCCTCCAGAAGTTAACCTTTAGGACGCTGCGAGATGTCCACCCCGCTTACTTTGTCAGGTTCTTACCTGCATTCTGCGCCACTCCTGGCTCCCTTTCTCTCGCCTTAGCTCTGCTCTTCCACACTAGGCAGGGATTTGTAAGTCTGGCGGGGTGGGTATACTCGTTCCCATAGCGTTTCGACACAGCTCGAGTTCCCTTGGGGAACGTCTCTAGGTTATGCATGTAACCATGGTTCCCTGAGGGAACGAGATGCTGCATCTCATTGCCATACTTCCGGCATCCCTGCGAGCACTTCCTTCATTTCCCAGAAGCTGGGGGTGTATCCACCGCAGATGCTTTTAAGCTTCCTGGTCGCTACGTCACCCCACCTGTGACGACTCGCCCATCCATTGGACTGATTACACACGTGATTCAGAGTGTGTTGACGCCGAAGGCGTTCCCATAGCGTTTCGACGCAGCATCTCGTTCCCTCGGGGAACCATGGTTACATGCATAACCTAGAGACGTTTTTTATGAAGATTCAAAGCCACATCGGTGCCGATAGCCTCGTGGTTAGTGTGTGGACATATACAGTGCAACTGTGCTCACTAAACATGGTTCCCTGAGGGAACGAGATGCTGCATCTCATTGCCATACTTCCGGCATCCCTGCGAGCACTTCCTTCATTTCCCAGAAGCTGGGGGTGTATCCACCGCAGATGCTTTTAAGCTTCCTGGTCGCTACGTCACCCCACCTGTGACGACTCGCCCATCCATTGGACTGATTACACACGTGATTCAGAGTGTGTTGACGCCGAAGGCGTTCCCATAGCGTTTCGACGCAGCATCTCGTTCCCTCGGGGAACCATGGTTACATGCATAACCTAGAGACGATAAACAAATATGAAAAAATATGGAAAAAAATAATTTAGAATTCATAATGTATTGATATTATAGACATTGGCCAGTACTAGTCTGATTAACAAAATTGTGTCAAAATATACCTTACAACTTTCTCAGTTGATACTGCGTTTTCTGTTTTTAAATATTGTTTGAATGATTTTACGTAAGTGTAGTGATTTTAAATATATTAGCATTAAATCAGCCAGCATATTGGCATCAGTAACTGAAATCCACCATTGGTTTACTGATCACTATTGATGATTTTTCCTAATTGACTGTGTTAAGAAGAAGTAGACACAATAGTGGTTCATTTGGAGTGTGTTTGGCCAGATTAGGTCTCCTGGGATATTCTTACTGTTTTAGCTCTGTGCTGATAAATCTGAATTCAGAAATGTGTGATTAAATCTCTGCTATAACCACCGGTCCTGTCCTCTTTGGATTACACACGTGATTCAGAGTGTGTTGACGCCGAAGGCGTTCCCATAGCGTTTCGACGCAGCATCTCGTTCCCTCGGGGAACCATGGTTACATGCATAACCTAGAGACGTTTTTTATGAAGATTCAAAGCCACATCGGTGCCGATAGCCTCGTGGTTAGTGTGTGGACATATACAGTGCAACTGTGCTCACAGCGACCAGAGTTCGATTCCCATCTTGAGGTTCTATGCCGATCCTGCTCCCCTCTCTCTACCCAATACTTTCCTGTCATCTCTCCACTATCCTGTCTGAAGAATAAAGGAATAAAAAGCGTCAAAAAATTATTTAAAAAAAAGGTTCAAAGCCACAAACACTTGATGTTTGTCAGATCTGGCCACATTTAACACACATGCTCGGAAAGCCTTGATGCTGATATGAGTGGCTTGAGTTTGAGTCTGGCAAATTATATTTCCCCATCTCCTGTTTCATCTATAAATAAAAGTGTATGGTTCATATATTTTACAGCATATTGCACCTACACACATTATCCTTCAAACAGTAAGAACTTAATTAGCATAATGTGGAAATGTTGATATATATGTAGTACCTGCACACATTCTGAGGTTTAATGAGAGAACCCAGATGAGATCTGCATGGGTCTCTTCAGGGTACATCCAGAAGTCATTCTCATTAAGGCTGAATTTCAGCTCTATAGTCTCAAAGGGCTCAATAGGTTGCAGGCAGTGAATAGAATTAGAGAAATTACTGTGCTGCTATGGCTCTTTGTCTCGGCGCGTGGACTGCCAAACTAAAACAATGAGTCAGCAAAAAAGCAGCATGGAGCTCCCCTGCAGTCAGCCCTGCTCATGATTTTTTAATGCATTGTGCGTTTTCTGTTTTTAAATATTGTTTGAATGATTTTACGTAAGTGTAGTGATTTTAAATATATTAGCATTAAATCAGCCAGCATATTGGCATCAGTAACTGAAATCCACCATTGGTTTACTGATCACTATTGATGATTTTTCCTAATTGACTGTGTTAAGAAGAAGTAGACACAATAGTGGTTCATTTGGAGTGTGTTTGGCCAGATTAGGTCTCCTGGGATATTCTTACTGTTTTAGCTCTGTGCTGATAAATCTGAATTCAGAAATGTGTGATTAAATCTCTGCTATAACCACCGGTCCTGTCCTCTTTGCACATCCAGACCTAGAGGTGAGCGGTGTGTCTCTATGCTCAGACCTCTGACTGCATATTTCTTAGACACTTTCTAGCTCAGCTTGCTGAGTCATTCCTCGCCTGCTACTGGTTACGGATGGACATAATAATGTGTTGGAACAAGCTGGCAAGAAATCAAAGAACAGAATGAAAGCTGTTTTAATTTCATCCTCCTTCAAGGAAAGTAA